CGTGAGACTCCAACTCCAAAAAAAAAAAAAAAAGGAGAGAAAGCAAGGAGGAAAACAATTATTATAAAATAGGTAAGAAAGACCTAATGCCCAAGGATAGGTTTTTCTATCTGTATATTGGAAAGAAATTTAAATTGTGTTAATGTTTGGTATGACTTTCTGCCAACTTGAAAGGTTACTTTTTCTAAGATGATCCCTACTAGGAATTGGGACTTTCTCTTCAAGAATAGTTTTTCCTGTCCCTTTCAAAAAGATTGCAAAATAGTTTTTACTCACTAAAGAATAGTTTCCACCTCTCAGTTATCCAGTACAGTTGTAATTTACAATTCCTTTTATCTCTCCTCCCTTTATTTTTGTAGACTGGAAAGTATCCCAAATAAAGGCATTCAGAAGTGGAGGCACACACAGATGACAGCTGAGAATGTTCCCATGAAGGTAAGTCTCCAGGCAGCTGGTTATTCAGTGTTTCTTCTGGCCTCTCTCAGCATGCTACCTTCATATGGAAAGAAATTTGAACGGAGATCAGTTGTTTTTCTTTTTTTTTTGAGTTACAGTCTCACTCTGTCACCCAGACTGAAGTGCACTCACAGCCACCACAGCCTCGACCTGCTGGGCTCAGGCAATCCTTCTGCCTCAGTCTTCGAAGTACCTGGAACTACAGGCGCGTGCCACCACGCCCGGCTAATTTTTTGATTTATTGTAGAGACGAGGTCTCGCCAAGTTGCCCAGGCTGGTCTCAAACCCCTGGGCTTAGGCATTTCTCTCACCTCGGCCTCCCAAAGTGCTGGGATTACAGACTTGAGCCACCTCGCCTGGCCTAGAAGTTGCATTCTTGCATTCAAAATATATGTGGAGTTTGGTTCAGTTAAATGTTATGGCACCAGAATTGTTGAAAAGCAACAAGTGATCACTGTGTCATTTGTTTCTGTTATCTTAATGTTTAAGATTTGTTTTTAATTTGTTTGGAAAACAGCACACTATAAACCTGTGTCAACCGTTGAGGCAGAGCTCCAGCAGAACCTGCAAAGGACATTGCCTCGAAGAAACAGCCTTTTTTTTCTTTAGCAATTTAACATTCTGTTCTTTATCCTTCAAAAGATATCACTATACATTTTTTACAAAGGACTAATTCTTTTGGTATCATGCAGACTGGTTTCTACTGATGTACATGAATGGCTGTTAAATATTTGTTGATATAAATTTGTGGGTGTCAGTATGCTAATGATGATAACAAACAGCAACTAACACGCACACCCTCTGTGCCAGGCACTTTTGTAAGCATTTTACGTAGAGTTGCTCAAGCAAGACCACTTTTATCTGGTTGTCCTTATTTATTTGGCGAAACTCTTAAGAATCTATGCTGCGATACATTCCACAACTCAATCTTCACCTCCCCAACAAGAATAGCTAGAATTCCAGTGTGTTTTCTTTATTATTTTGACTTTGAGAAGCTGTCAGCTTTTAAGAGCCATGCTAGTCCCCAGTGCTTGATCTGGAAACAGCAAGTATAGCGCACACACACACACACACACACACACACACACATTTGTCTATTGCTTATGATGAAATAAAGACCAATGACTTGGTTCAACACAGAAATCTAAGAAAGTGATAATAGTTTTTTTTTCCTCCCAATTCAGACTTTATTTCTGTTCTTTTTTTTTTTTTTTTGAGTTGGAGTCTCACTCTGTCACCCAGACTGGAGTGCAGTGGCCGCTCCTGGCCATCACAGTCTCGACCTGCTGGGCTCTCATCTGGTCTCAGAAGCTAAACAGGATTGGGCCTGGTTAGTACTTGGATGAGAGAAAACCCAAGATAACTTTGCACTTAGTACAAGCCGTTGATTGAGCTTCACTGAAGTAGGAGTTGTTATTAAAATGTTGAAGTCTGTTCTACCTGTCATTGTCTTTCAGAAAGCTATTGATCAAGACCAGCCTCCTCAGCAAATGTAGATACACACACACACACACACACACACACACACATTTGTCTATTGCTTATGATGAAATAAAGACCAATGACTTGGTTCAACACAGAAATCTAAGAAAGTGATAATAGTTTTTTTTCCTCCCAATTCAGACTTTATTTCTGTTCTTTTTTTTTTTTTTTTTGAGTTGGAGTCTCACTCTGTCACCCAGACTGGAGTGCAGTGGCCGCTCCTGGCCACCACAGTCTCGACCTGCTGGGCTCCGGCGATCCTTCTGCCTCAGCCTTCCGAGTAGCCGGAATTACAGGCACGCGCTACCACGCCCGGCTGATTTTTTGATTTATTGTAGAGATGAGGTCTTGCTGCCCACGCGGGTCTCGAA